ATCCTTCCTGCTGCCCATTATTGGGGGGACCATCCAATCTCATCCTCCGGCCCTCTAGGCAGAGGGACCAGGCTGTATGGCCACTTCAGGTGCACTGGGACGCCTGATGGTGTGCCTCTCCATTATACAATATTACTTAATCATACATCTCTTGATGATGCGCTGCATCAATGGGACCCACCCTGAATGTCATCACATGGAATGTTAAGGGACTAAAGTCGCCCAGCAAACGACGGCGGATTCTCCGCCATCTGAAAAGGCTGAATGTGGACATTGCGCTTCTACAGGAAACTCATCTCAAGAAGGCAGATATAGCCCGAATGCATCAATCATGGGTTGGCACGGTTATTGGCGCTCCAGATTGGGGGTGACTTCAATGCTGTACCGTCCTTCCAAGACGACCGCTCCAGAGAATCTCCCTCCCCTCCACAGACAAACAGCCCCCAAGATAAACATCTCTCCACCTGGATCGAAGCCACTGGCCAACTGGATCTATGGAGGTATTTGCATCCACTGGACAGAGAATTTACACACTTTTCTCATGCGCACAACACGATATCACGCATTGACGTATTTTTTGCCGCTCCCACTACGATACCCCATCTAGTCTCGGTGACAGTGGAGGACCTGGTCATCTCAGATCATGCCCCTGTGTTGCTGACAGTTAAAAATATTGGGTCGCCTACTCATCCCACCATTTGGCAGTTCCCTTCCTACTTAGCCCAAGATGACACCTTCCAAGGTAAACTCCTACAATGGTGGCATGAGTATGCAGAAGATAATTCCTAACATATGTCTAATCCTGCCCTGTTCTGGGAAACTGCAAAGGCGGTTCTCCGGGGCAGGATACTTGCTTATGCAACCTCTAGAAAAAGATTGGTTAGGAGTAGATATGTGGAAGCTACCACGACAGCCAGAAGAACCTATCGAGTTTACAAAGGGGACCCTACACACCCAATAGGACCGCTTGGTTGGCGGCTAAACAAGAATTTGACCACTGGTTACAACAACTTACAACTAGGTCTACAAAGACCTAGACTTATTCAAATTTGGCAATAAATCTGGTAAACTACAGGCAAATTTAGCGAGGGGTAAATCAGCAGTTACACATGTCACTCAATTGATAGAAGAGGCGGGGACATTACACTCAGACCCTTCGTCCATTAGCGGGATTTTTAGCACTTTTTATCAGAACCTATATAAACCGGAACAGGGGGACAAGGCATCTGGCTCCTCCTACCTGGACGCCACCTCCCTACCCACTTTGACCGCTGAAGACCTAGACTCTCTTAATCGTGACATCTCTCCATTGGAAATCACGGAGGCCATCAAACACCTACCATGTTCCAAGGCCCCTGGGCCTGATGGTTTTTCTGCTGAATTCTACCGCCTCTTGTCCCCTGACATATCTCCTGTATTGGGGAACCTTTATCAGAATATTTTGACCAATCACAACTATCCCCCCACCTTCAATGATGCATACATTAGCCTGCTTCCCAAAAAAGACAAAGACCCTCTCCACCCAGGCTCTTACCGTCCGATATCACTACTAAATCTAGACGCCAAGTTGTTGTCAAAAATTTTAGCAAACAGGTTGGCTGCCGTGCTCCCGAAGTTTATCTCCTCTGACCAGGTAGGCTTTGTGTCTGGTAGAGTTGCTGTATCTAATGTACGCAAGGTTCTTCTGGCTCTCGAAAGCCGCAGATTGCAAAAGCCTTCTTCAACATCTTTGGCACTATTGGCCTTGGATGCGGAAAAGGCTTTTGACAATGTGAATTGGGAATGGTTATATGCTGTTATGAAACGCATGGGTATTGTAGGTACTTTTCTTGATTTTGTATCCACCATGTACACCTCACCTAAGGCCCGCATACTTACCTCCACCGCTATATCACCACCCTTCTCCCTCCATAAGGGGATGAGGCAGGGTTGCCCACTATCCCCCCTACTCTTTAATTTAGCCCTGGAGCCACTCTCCCGCTCACTGTCCTCCTCCCCACTCTTTTCAGGCCTTCGTGTGGGACCGGATGACCTTAAAATAGCTTTGTTTGCCGATGACATCACTCTCCTGCTCTCCGACCCCTCCTCCCAAGTACCTAAAATAATACAACATATCACTAATTTTGGCTCCTTTTCGGGGCTGAGAATCAACTTTCATAAAAGTGAACTTTTAATGCTACCCCACAGTGCCCCCCTCGATACATCCACCTTTGGATTGCACTATCAAGCTTCAGAAACACTCTGTTACATACTTAGGCATTCACCTATCCGGAAATGCAGCGGAGTTATATCGCCCTAACTATGAACCCCTGTTTAAAAAGAGAACTCAAGAACTACATAGGTGGCGGGATCTACCAATTTCTTTGCTAGGGAGATGCCACCTGATCCGCATGATCAGTTTCGCAAGACTGTTATACCCGCTACAGACCATACCCCTCCTCCTAAAACATAAAGACATCAGCAATTTGAACACGGCCTTCCTTGCAACAACTTACAGACCTACATAATAGGCTGATGTCGATGGACAAACTGGATGCTCAATACCACTGTACTTACACAGAGAAATTCTTCAATACCTGGACCCCATACATAGTGTCAACCTTACAACCGACTCAGTTGAAAGAGTTGGTATTCTTGTTTAAAGATGCGGTATGGTACCACACAGCCAAACTGAATAGATCTTTGGGTGCCCTTGACGTCCTTTAGCGACTCCCTACATTGTCAGTTCATGTCTGATATAGCAGCTAAAAATCCTCTTAACATCCTGCTACCACTTCTGACTATGCTGGGATCCCCCCTGTTCCTTCTGGTACCATCTACTAAAGGGAGCAGAGGATCCTGCCAAATATACAAGGTGATTGCGAGACTTGCCTGTTGACGTTGATTCAAGCCTGTTATATTCTGTACCTATGCACTGTTATTGTTTACACTACACTTTTGAATAGGTAACTTTATACCAATGTACTACTGTATCGCATCTCGTCTTCAGATATGTATCGCAGAATGGCACGTGTCCATGATGGGATGCAGAATGTACTTCGTCATATCTTATGTTATGTTTTTTATGAAAAACTTGAATAAAGACTACATGCTTAAAAAAAAAAAGATAAATTATTTCATCTTAACATATATTTTCTTATACATTCTTTTACATTATCGTAACAACATATTTTAACTTGCTTGAATAAAAATCCTAGAAGCAGGGAGCCATTCACAGAGGGGTATACCAGGTTTCTACCTGTATGGGTGGATGAAAAAAAACCCGATATGCAGCTTCTCATGCATCAACCTCTATTGAAGCATATATAATTATTTAAAAGATTTACAAGAGCATTTAAGAGGGAAGATTTTCCAATATTCTTATTAAGCATACCTAGTTAGTCATCTTCCTCTAATGCAAGCTTCATATCCTAAATGATAGAGCTTTGTGTCCCAAATGACAATCAGAGGGCAGTTTGTGCAACGCTTTATAATATAGGGAAGACATTACAAAACAATTCAAGACAAGATGGTAAGGAGGGCCCTGCCCGTGAGAGCTTACAATCTAAGAGGGAGGGGTAAGTGATGCATGAGGAGGTAGCTGTGTTGGGATGAATTGTTTGAGAAAGAGATGCAGTGGTTAGTTTGAGGGGGAATAGGCTTCCTGAATAGATGAGTCTTTAGTGATCACCTAAAGGCAGCCAGAGTAGGAGACAGACGGACAGGTTGGAGTAGGGAGTTCCAAAGAATGGTTAGGGTGATACTTTGACACCAGCTTGGTGATATAGCCCTGGGGCAGAGTTGTGGATGGCTTTCTAAGTGGTTAATATTTCAAATATTATCCTTTGGGCGATTGGAAGCCAGTGGAGGGATTGGCAGTGGGGTTGCAGATATTGAGCGGTTGGTTAGGTGGATGAGTCTAGCAGCAGCATTCATGATAGACTGAAGAGGGGATAGCCTGTGCAGTGGTAAGCCATTGAGGAGGGAGTTAACCCCTTCATGACTGACGACGTACGTGTACGTCGCCAGCATCGGGGCTGTTTAAACAGACTCCCGGCGACTTTTGCCGCCGGGAGTCTGTTTAAACTTGTAGAGCCGACTGTCGGCTTTACAACAGAAGCGATTCTGGCGACTTACCTGTCGCCAGATCGCTTCTGTGTCCCGAGGAAGGGGACGTTTTTCGCCGTTTCACGGACGCACGCAATTTGTAAACTGGGCATGTTGGGTATCGTTTTACTCGTTGTAACCTCATCTTTTATATGTAATTTAAAAATGGGTATTTTGTTGTGTTTGAGCATTTCATTAAATTTATCACTATATTTTGGGGTTTAATAAGGAGTTGCGCTAATATTGCGCAACATAAAAATTTGCAACTACCACCATTATATTGTATAGGGTCTTGGCATTCAGAAAATATATAATGTGTGGGGGTTTTAAGTAATTTTCAGGCCTAAAATGTGGAATATAACATGAGTGCAAAAAATGGAAAAAAAAAGGCCTCAGTCATGAAGGGGTTAAAGTAGTCAAGACGAGAGGTAACAAGTGAGTCTTGGATGCACATATACTTTATGCAGTTTTATTACATCTTCTCTAACAACTTAATTTTAGTCTTGATTGCCATCTACAGCAAAAATATGAATACACTGTCTTCTTCGACAGGATGCCCCATGTCTTTCAGGATCTTGGCAACACTAGAAATGCATATTGGGGTGGGAAGAGTTTTATCAGTCAGGTCAGGCCTAAAACATAGCACATCGTGGCTGGGAATAAGTGGACCACCTGACACTGGTGGGAACAGATCCTGGCTATAGGTAAGTAAAAGGAGCTTTTATTTTGAGGTTTACCAAGCCTTAACAGGTAGTTAATTACTACTAAGCATGGTACCATTTCAATCATGCACCAAATTTGGTTTTCTGAAATGTTACCCTTATGGACACACTTATAAGTATTTTTGTATGAAAACAGTGAAAATATTGTTAGAGCTGTTTAATTTATTAAAACGTCTATACTGAATTTTCAAGGTATGATGTCGAACTCTTTCAAAGGATAGAACATATGATTGGTAAAAAGCTCCCAGCTTTCCCTGCACAAGAAGAAGAAGTGATGTTGCTGAATGAAAGGGTAGCAGAAGCTCAAAGATTTGCCCGTGTTGTAAGTTGTTTGTTTTTCCGTTTTTTTTAATAACTTTTAAGTGCATTGAAATACAAATGAGAACATTTTCTGTCTCTTGTCATGTATGGATTTAAATCACCTATCTGTGTATAGTATGTGAAGGAACTATGCAAAAGTAAGGGAACAAGAAGGTTTTATGGTACTTTGCATGTGTTTTCTCCACCCTCTTGGTCCTTCCTACATTTTTTAAATTTACAAACTGCACTAAAATACGTTCACATAGGATATTTAATATCTGATTTTTACAGTTCTGGATAAGGTATTGAGGGGTCAAAACCCCTATATGACCTTTTGGGTATTAAAACCAGATTATAAAAATAATGAATTAGTAGGGACTCCACCTACTTTTATCAAAAGTAGGAAAATATTAATGAATAATATATAATAATACCAGTACCAATAATAATAATATCAATAATAATATCAGGCGATAAGGAATTTGTCTGGATTAAGTAAAAACAGCAAATTCACTTTGTAAAATAATTGGAGAAAAAGAAAATGTAAAAATATTTTTTCTTTCTATAGGGGATTATATTAGGCAAAAGATACACTAAAAACAAACCATAATTAAGGTTACAAATTAGCAATTAAACTACTATATAAAATACACTTCAATCACTATACTGAATAAAAGTATTTAACATTGAACCAGCCCAGGAAAAAAGCTGCTCCAATGTTTCTCCAGGAATTTAGTCAGTATCAGGGATCCAGGAAACATCTTCTGATCTCTTGATCTTCTTGTTAAAATACCTCTTAAATGTTTGCTCGTGCCATCAGCAATGTTTTGTTTGTGGGATTGCTCTAAGCATGAGAACTAATTTCCTATTGGCTGAGGAATTTATGATAAGCCGTTGTATTTCTTTTGGATCTGCCTATGTGATACCATGCCTGGTCCATAGAGGTCCAGGCCCGGATTCCCCACAAGGCCACCGAGGCCCGGCCGCGCCGGGCGGTAAGTTGCGATTTCTACATTTAGCCCTGCTTTGGGAAGGCAGGACTAAATGTGGTGTGGGGAAGCCGCTTGTGCGTTTACAAGTGATCGCCACGATCACTTGTAAAATGTGTGCAGCCTGTCCGTCCTCCCCTCTCCCCCCGGCCGCATCTATCTCTCTCCTCTGCTGCCGCTCTCCCCCCAGCCGGCGAGTCTCTCTCCTCACTGGCCGCCGATGCAGGGAGCAGAGCGGCAGGATTAAAACTAACCCTGCCGCTCCGTGTACACGGGGAGAGCAGTGCTCTTCCCATCTCAGCTGTCACAGGAGTTCCAGCATATTGGAGGTGACAGGGTCAATAAAGAGAACCTGTCACCTCCAAAGGCTATCACACAGGGGCTTGTTAGCTAGCTCCTGTGTGATGGCAATAAAGCTAAGTGAAAACATTTTTTTAATAAAAATTAAAAAAATAATAATAGTTAAATGAAAAAAAATAAAAAAGGTGATTAAAAAGTAAAAAATTTATTTTTTAAAATAAGAAATAATAAGATAAAATAATTATAAAAAAATAAACTATAAGATAAAAAAGTAAAAAAATAAATAAAAATAAAACTAACCCTGCCACCCCTGCCATCCGGTTGCCATTCTCCGTTGATGGGGGTGTTGGCAGGGAGGGGGGTGCATTGAGGAACCTTGCCTTGGGGCAGCAGGGAGAGTAAATCCGGCCCTGTAGAGGTCACTAGAGGCTGACTTGTAATCTTCGAAGATAACGTTTAGTGGTAATTGACATGGAATGTCAATAGATATATAGATTTAGTTTTATAATATCCCAGTATAGTCCTATACATTAATATGGATTAATGTGCGTCAGTCTTCTGGTGTTCCTTGGGCTGGTATGGTACATTTTCCAACATTTGAAACATCTAACCACATATATTAAATTACAATATAGTCATGTAACAATCGGTGACTATACATTTTGAATACACATTTTTAAATAGCAATCATGTGTTTAGTGAATTTACATTAAGTGCCCCAAAACACCTATATACAATTATTTGTTTTTGTAAAATATAAAAGATGAGGTTACGAGTAAATAGATACCCAACATGCCCAGGTAAAAATTATGTGCATCCGTGAAACTGCAACAGAATTCAGTACCCAAAAAAGTCCATAGACGACTCTTTAAAAGCCCCTACAGGTCTTTATTTTTTTTTATTATTATTTTTACAGTTCATCTATTATTTTTTAATGGTTTTGTTTTTTGTTTTGTTTTTTACTTTAATTGCCATCACATAGGGGGGCTTACAAGCCCTCCATGTGCAGGGATAGGCACGGACCAAGGCTGTGGGGGACATTTTCCAAAGTACAGACCTTAGTGAAGGACACCAAGGTACATTTCAAACTAAAACCTTTAAAAAACAAACACTCTAGTCTGGTGTGCACACGCCTATGTATACAACGATTCAGAACTGCACCAGCTATAGAGGACTACAAATCCCAGCAATAGATTATACAGTAATGCAGAAAGATTTGAAGCTACATAATCGTGTTGCTTCAGGATCACGGCCTCAGGATGATGTCTCGAGGGTCTCAGGATGGCTCTCTGGTGGGCAGTGCGGTATTTAGTCAGACTCAGGACATTCCAACATACATTACAAAAAGCTTGCATTTTATTGAATATGGGAGATAAAAGAGATGCTTTGCTGTTCTCTGCAAAGGCTTCCCCTACCCCGACCCAGCATCAGGCCCCTCTTCAACCTTGGGCAGCAGCTGCTTGGTACTCCTGTGCTCAGAGGCGGCTCTAGGTTTGCGAGGCCTCAGGCGAAACCTAAACATGAGGCCCAACTCAGGCCTGTGGGGTCTCACCAGGTCTCTGTGGGGTTTAACCAGGCTGGTGAGACCCCCCACAGAGTCCTGTTGAGACCCCACAGGGCCCTGAATAAACCAGGGCTCTGTGGGGTCCCACCAGGGCTCTGTGGGGTCTCACCAGCCTGGTTAGACCCCTCAGAACCCTGGTGAGAGCCCTCATTAAACTAGGGCTTTGTGTGGTCTCATCACTCCTGGTTAAACCCCACATAGCCCTGGTAAGACCATACAAAGCCCTGGTTAAACCAGGGCTCTGTAGGGTCTCACCAGGGCTCTGTAGGGTCTAACCAGCCTGATTAGAGCCCTGGTGAGATCCCAAAGAGCCAGGGGCTGACTGGCAACCTTTAGCCCAGGGGGCAAGTACAACCCAGAGGCCCATGGTGCAGCAACTTGGCCCCTCTCTCGCTATCGCTCTTCCCCGCCTTCTCCCCGCCCTTGTCTGCCACTTTTGCCATCCATGTAACAGTAGTGTGAATGTATCTATCGGTTTAGGAAATTTAAAGCACACTGGTAGGGGAGAGATGCCTTGTCAGGGCTGTGCGTGTGCATGACTGCTGCGCCACTGGTAGTTCTGCCACTTAAATCAGAAATACATTGTATAGCATTGCAGAATGGCATTGGCTATGGAGAACTACAATTCCAAGCAATACATTACACAACAATGCAGAATACCATCAGCTATAGAGGACTACAAATCCCAGCAATAGTACATTATAGCTTAAGAGACCAGGGCTCTGTGGGGTTTAACCAAGGCTGGTGAGACCCCACAGAGCCTTGGTTAGACCCGACAGAGGCCTGGTTAAACCAGGGCTCTGTCTGGTCTCACCAGCACCAGGGTTCTGTAGGGTCTCACCAGGGCTATGTAGGGTCTCACCAGCCTGGTTAGACCTCACAGAGCCCTGGTTAAACTAGGACTCTGTGGGGCCTCACCAGGGCTCTGTTGGGTCTCGCCAGTCCTGGTAAACCCCACAGAGCCCTGGTGAGACACTACAAAGCCCTCACAGGGCTCTCCAGGCCACCACTCACCAGTACTGTGCTGGCCGTGTGTCGGGGACGGGAGCGTGCAGGACCAGCTGGTGCCGACATAGTCTCCATCTGCTGCTGAAGATAAACTCCGCCCTCCCAGCCAGAGATCCTCGTGTGGTGGATGGGAGGGGTGAGGTCTCTTCTCATTGGCTGGTGGGCAGAGCTCCAGAAAACAGAGTGGATGGACCGTACCGACGATCGAGGAAACGTATGAGCTCTCAACCCTGTCGCTGTCAAACTGGGAGTCTCAGTTTGACAGCGGCAGGGCTAAGAGCTCACAACATTACCTGACTGCGAGCGAGGTGATGTGCCGTTCCGACAGGGCAAACTAGGCGGCCGCGTTTGCAGGCTGACGTGGGTGTATCCAAGACGACCCCAACCGGGCAGTACACCAAAAGAGTCCTCCCAGGGGAGAGGGAGAGGAGCGAGGACCAAACCCTGTGTGGTACTGGGTACGGGTGGCTCGGAGGTGTTTGGAGGACGGGAGTCCCTGTGCGTTTGTGGGGCCTCCATGTGAGGCAGCGTCTAAGTGAACAAGTGACCCAAATCCTGTGTTTCTTTACTCCATACAAGGCTTCCCTATTATTCTATGCCTCCCACCTCTAACTGCTTGACACAGGGTTTGGTCCTCGCTCCTCTCCCTGGGAGGACTGGTTTGGTGTACTGCCTGGTTGGGGGCCGTCTTGGAAACACGCACGGCAGCCTGCTAAATTGATTCTCTCCATCTCCTGAAGAAGCGCCTCTGAGCGCGAAACGTCAATACAAATATTCGCTCCCCCATTCTCAACCATCCTTATTCATGTATCTATTATTCTAATCATGCTATTAATTAACCATCCTATCATGTATTCTTGAATGAGATGTTCATAGGTGGAGTGAGCAAAGCCTATGTCCCTCCACTTTTGAAATAACCCAGATGAATTTTTCAATCATGTATTCAATTAATTTTTCAATCATGTTATGTCTTTCTTGAAATCGGTGGTATAAATGGAGTGAGTGTATAAGGAGACATCAGCCGGTTGTTTTTATTTTTTGTACTGTATGTGAATCAATCTTTTAAAATATTACTAAGATTAAAAATACTTTTTTACTGCTAAATTGCTTTGGATTTGTCATTAGGTGCCCAAAAAAAACCCATCTTTTTGCTTTTTTATA